AATATATATATATAATAATAATAATAATAATAATAAAGACCCTTCTCCTCCTCTTACATTTCTCCTGTCAGATACATGGGGGCCTCTTTTAAAGCACCAGCAATGAATTTTCTGAGATTAGCGTTAATTAACCCAAAAATTCATGGGACCATCCCCACTTCAATGTCTCAGTTTTGAAGCAAAGTCCGGGCTTTTGGAAACCATTACAACCAACATTTATTGAGTCACACCTATAGAGCTCGGGATAGATACTGTAGATTCATTCTATCACTCGGGCAATTTGATCAAGCTTAGATGGAAAATAGACTCGGACAACCCAAGAAGTAACTCATACCGTACAGTAATTTTGGTTTCTACATTGTCTTTTATGACACCAGGATACGGGTAATTACCTAATTTACATTCAGAGAGAGACAAATAACACTGTTAAAAACACGCACATAGGGTTTTTTTTTTTTTTTTGGCTACTACAAGGTTTGATTTCGACTTAAACGTTAGTAAAATACAATAAAAGGAAATTAACTACTCCGCATAAAAATTGCAGGCCAACAAGTCTTCGATCATAGAAGCTCTAGTTAAAAGATTTAACGAATGTCAAATTTACAATGGCATCTTTTTTTTATCCGGATCACATCAAATTTAATTCCTTTAAGGATCATCTTCTTTTGTTACAGGCAAAATCCAATCACTTGTGGCATGTTTCAAACAGCTCCCAGCGAAGGAGCAACCTATTGTTGGCAAAGCAAATGGCTCTCAAAGAGAGGAAATTATTAATAAGAGCTTTGGAGAGGGAGGGAAAAAAAATCTTATCTGGCTAATTTTTCCGAAAGAAATTAAAAGCAAGAAGACTGGGCCCGTTTGGATCGGGTATTTTGAAGGGGAAAGGAGGGGGGAAACTGCCAATTTGTCGGCTTTTGAAGAGGTGGTTTTGGGGGAAAGCTGCCAAAAAGTTGACAAATTGACAGCTTTTCCCCTCATTTCCCCTTCAAAATACCTGATCCAAACAGCCCCTAATTGCAAATATGAAGAGTCTTCCGTATGACTCAGATATAGGGGAAAGATTCCAAAGCCTGCCACATTGCATTTAGTTTCATTCACTTTCTTGCATCCAACTTTGAAAAATAAAGTTCCGAGAAAATTATTAGATAAGTATTACAGTATCCTTCCTCCTCCTCTTATTGTTTCATGTGCAAAAGTTTGCCTAGATTTCTTGCTCTTACGAGTAAATAAGCAGTAATGGCACAGTAAGGCTATAAACATCTAAACACTTTTCAGTTGAAAAAGAAACATAAAAAACACCAGATGTGTTGAAAAATTATTTTTAAAGATCAAATTTTAAACACTATTGATCAGCATTGTTTTTCAGGGTTTGTTGTTGTAGTCAATGATTCAATTGCTCGGATATTTTCTTAATTGAAACCATTATAACTTAAAATATGGCATGTTTGTTAAGAAGAAATTTGATTATTAATTTTCATAATAAAGAAATTTAACAACTTGCGCCGACATTGACATAACATGCACATTTATTGTAGCAGTATTAAGAAGCTCAACTAGTAAATCAGCATCTATGTACATCAAATTAAGACTGATATTTCCATAATCATATTAGGGGGGCAATAAAATTTAAGAACAGAGATGACAATTACAAAAACTTGAGGGGGTTCGCAGACAAACTGTAACTAAAACATATAGTAAATATTAGTAAATATGAGCCTGTGATATAAGCTTAGGATAATTTGTCCTCTTTCTTAGGACTACTGCGGCTCATATCGCTTCTTTTGTATAATTGCAAGCATTGTTGATAGGATTCGAAATAAAGCTCACTAGTTTTATAGACGAGTCCTGCTACAGGGACCCCAAATAAGGGACCCTGGGGTGGGACAGGTGAGGTGTCAGCCTGGGAGGCTGTGATGCACTGTTCATGAACAGTGCATCACAACCTCCCAGGCTGACACCTCACCTGTCCCACCCCAGGGTCCCCTATTTGGGGCCCCTGGGGCATTTTTCTTTATAGACCCACTCCAAATCTGGGTTTTGCTTGAGCCAGTCCTCTGTTCATAAGCTTACAAATTGATTAGACTTTCAGGCCCAAGCGCAAATTAAGTTGGCTTCAAGCCTTCAACTTCAGGATTTGATTTAAAGATCCATTCAATGCTTTCACGCTTCCAACAGTAGTTCACGTACTTACCTGTAGCTTTCAAATGGTGTATTAATAGGTATAATTTGAAGTCAAATTTATCAAAAAAAAAAAAAACCAGGAAAGTTTACATTAATATAGTGCAAACTTTATCTTCCACATTTATTGACCCTGATGAGCTTGTATGTACAGGAACCAACACTTCAATAAATATCCCCGGACAGGAAAATAAATGACCCTATACAAGCTGTATCCAGAGGTAAAAACTGTAACCCAATAGCCTAGCTCACGATGGACTGTCCTAGTACAAACCAGTAAAGAGTAAGGATTGTAACATGCAACCACCATTCATTAGTTTTTTATGGCCAGGGAGTAACTTTTAAAACAGTACAAGTAGCTCCTCTCCCTCTCCCTCTCCCTCTCCCTCTGCTTCGCTTCCCTCCAAAAATCCTATTTGATACAATGGAAAGCAAAGGAAGTAGAGCTAGAACTCGCTTCCCTTCCCTCTTGCTCTCACTTCTTGCTTTGTTATGCTTGTTTTGTGCTGCAGAATGTGCAAAATCACAGGCAATGTTTATATTTGGCGACTCATTGATCGACAATGGTAATAACAATTTCATACCGTCGATCGCCAAGGCAAACTATGCTCCCTATGGTATCGACTTTGGGCTACCAACCGGCCGGTTCTGCAACGGACTAACTGTCGCAGACTTCGGTTGTAAGTTATCTGAAATATTGCAACTCTTAAAGTCTCTTCCACTGCATCAAAACTTGAACTTGAAATGAACAGCCTGTTTGGATGGAGGGTAGAGAGGGGGAGGGAAAGAGGGATTTAATCAAATTCCATTTAGGAGGTTAGAGGAGGGGAGTGAGGAGAATTTTTGAGCCAAAATCTTACACCCCAAATTGGGATGTAATGAAAGGGAATGGAAGGAAGGGGAACTTTACCCTTCCTTAAGTTCCCCTTCCTTCCCCCTCCTTCCCTTCCCTAAGTCATCTCCCAAACAAACTGGAAGGTTAAGAGTTTCAATTTCGTACGCTCACATGTCCCAGGTTAAGCGCCTTTCTCATGGGCCGAAACCTGCTTATTTATGACAGCAACATCCAAGTGTATGATGATATTCTAATTTGGTCCTATATAATTTTAGAGTAATATGTGCTTGTGTCGGTTTATTGTGTAGCTAGGATACTAGGTCTACCATATCCACCACCATATTTGAGCCTAGCTTCAAGGACTTCCAAGATACTGGATGGGGTGAACTATGCTTCAGCAGCTGGAGGGATTCTTGATGAAACTGGCAAAAACTATGTAAGTCCACTTCCCTTGTATCTCACTTACCTTTGTTGAAAATAGTGGGGCTAATATCAATTGGAAATGTGACAGGGAGCAAGGGTTAGTTTTAACGGGCAGCTGGATTTGTTTCGGAATACAGTAACACAGGATTTACCAACTTTGATACCAAACCGAGACGCCCTTACTCAATTCGTAGAAAGCTCTCTGTTCTTGATTAACATAGGGAGCAATGACTACATCAACAACTATCTCCTTCCTAATCTATATACCACTAGCCGAATCTACACCAGCGACGCCTTCGCTGATCTGCTCATTGCCAACTTGACTCAGCAACTCATTGTAAGTCTCAACCTCTCCCCTTTCTATAACGCTTTAGGTTGTTGCTCTTCAGATACAGGGGATAACGTCCCCTAATCTTCTATTAACAATAAATAATTGAAGCCTGTCACTAATGACCAAAGCACACATATTATGTTGTTCTATATGCACTCACTAGCATATTCTAGCGCACATCCTAAGGCCACTAAAATTTGGAATAATTGCAGCAAAACACCATTGCCATTAAGTTAATGACATGTCCCTTAGGGGTCACATCAACTTAGACGCATCTTCTCATAAGTTCTAAGGGCCCCCATCGCCATAAAGTATCCAAGCAGAAGTTATTAATTCTCATAGATTGGTAGCTGGGGGTCATCAGGCTCTTCATCAGGTATGCAGCCTGAACCCTATTAACATCACATTGATTGCAAGGGAAAAGGTAGGAAAAGAACGGTTTCCTCCAGGCCAACCAACAAAAAGACAATTCTCACAGTAAGAATTGCAACTTGCGTCCAGATTGAGGTGGGCGCCAACAAAGCTAGAAAAAATGCCGAAAGTCGTCAAGTCTTGTTAATTTGTGTCTTATGGGATGATCAAGATATCCTTTGTTTTGACTATGAATATTATGCGTTGATTCTTCACCACTCTTAAAACCTAAAATTGCTGGCCACTGTTTCCCTCAACCAGCTGCTGCCAGAATGCTACTGGAGATAGTAACGGCATTCTGAACGCTCAGATAATTGATCCTGCACCTGAATTTTGTGCCATTGTTTTAAACTATCACCAATTGCAACCAGATTATTTATCGCAATTCTTCTAAAGCCCTTAAAGAGATTACTTATCTATTGAGTGATAAAAGTGAAACCCAACATCACATCAGATGGAAAAAGGTGAATGGGATCTTATGTGTGGAACTCTTTACACCAGTACTAGTGATCCCATGGTAAGATCTCTGAACAAAGATGTGTAGAAATGGCTAGTACTTAAACATCACACCTTCAACAACTTTTCATTGGGCAAGTTATCGTCATTAATTACAATTTCAAACTAGTTGACATGTTGGGTAATATTGATAAGGAGCAGGATAAGCCAAAGAAATAAACGCGACCAAAGCTTCATATGAGATGATAATTGATTAAGATGTGCTCTCATTGCAGAAATTGTACAAATTTGGAGCTAGAAAAATGGTTTTAGTAGGGCTCGGGCCTCTCGGATGCATACCTAGCCAGCTCAACCAGCAGAACAGCACCGATGGGCGCTGCATTGAGCGAGTCAATCAGGTGGTCTCAAAATTCAACCAACGCCTCCTCCCACTCACAGTAAACCTCAACAGCAGTCTACCAGGATCCTTCTTTGTCTACCAGAACATCTATGATACGTTCTACAATGTGATTCAAAATCCAGCTAACTATGGTTAGTATCATTTTCTAAAATCATGCAATTGGAGGGGGAAAAAAGCTAGGTCAGCATAAGAATTAATTTAGCTACTATGTATTCATGATTTCAGGTTTCAGTGTTAATAACCAAGCATGTTGTGGGAATGGAAAGTATGGGGGAGCAGTAAGCTGCCTGCCACTTCAGCAGCCATGCAACTCAAGGGACCAGTTCGTCTTCTGGGATTCTTTCCACCCGACACAAGCTGCTAATGCCATCATTGCTGAGAGGTCCTACGGTACCTCGCCAGGTGACTGCTATCCCATAAGCATATATCAGTTGGCATTGATATAGGAAAAGGCTCTATAAAAAATGTTGGCAGGGGTTTGTAATTTCTTATTACATTGTATTATCGATATCATTTACGGACCAATCAAAATCGAATATTTTGGAGGTGAGAATTTAAGATAGTTTGCAATAGTAGTGAAGCAAAAGGGCATGCAGAATGCTGCTTATTGACAATTTGCTGGTACACTATGATGCAGAGGGTACTGCAGAAAATAACACGGCACTTAGTGTATGCGGTGCGAACAGTTGATAGATTGAATAGTATGTGGTTAGAGTGTCTATGTGATCAAAGTAGGCGATTTAATGAGGATTACAGACTGGGGTTACTACCACGTTGCAAAAAATAAACAATGGCTTAAAAGTTAAAGGGAAGAGTAACAGTAACACTATCAGTGTCCCAAAGGTGGCTGGATCATCGATTCTCCAATTACTAAAATCAATGAGGGGCTGCCACCAAAGTTATCGATAGCGGATAGCGTCGCGTAGCGGTGAGACATCGTTAAGGCTATTTCGGGCTATTGTGGCAAAATAGCGATAAAAAGCGCAAAGTCAAATAGCGGTCTAATTTAGATATGTATAAATACTAAAAAAAAATTAAAGAAAAATCTAAGAAATCTAAAAATATATATTGGATGATTTAAAGAGATCCTAAACATGAAATAGACATGTAACCATCACGTAATACCGAAGATGACTGGAGGAGTCAAAAAGTCGTTGTCTTCGAGAAGAAGAGCTTAGCGGTGACAGGACTGTCCTAAAAGGAGCTCACGGTGAAGGAGGTGAGAGGAAGTATCAAGATAGGTGTCAGAGGCTATGAGAGGTGACGGGAGTATGCTGAAAATCACAGGAGACGGTGGAATGCAATGGTCAAGGGTTGAGTTTAATTTTAAAAAAATAAGCCTCAAACCGTTTTTAAATAGCGGTCAAAAAGCAAATTTCGAATACAATCGCTCACTATTTACCATTATGACACACTATTGACCGTTTTTGCGAACATACATATTCCGTAATATGTCACTGCTATTGTGCGATAGCGTAGCGGGCGATAGCGTCGCGGGAAGGGACCGCTAACGCTATTAGCGCCGCTATTGCAGGGCTATTTACCGCTATATTAGTGACACATAAGAGTACACTACAGTGGACAGTGTGGTCCCTTCTAAGGAGTATTTTTAATGCTTAGGAGTTGCATTTAATCAAAAATGAAAGTGATAGGAGGCAGATCAAATAATTAATTTTCCATATGAAACTGAAATGGGCAAATTAATTTATGATAGAACATTATCAGCCTCAAGTATGGACTATGGAGAACAACCACCTTATTGTTAGATGCTTTTTGCAAAACAGAAATGGATGATTGTTCTCTACAACAACCATTAGCAGTAGAATAGGGTTCTTTGTATAAATACTCAGATTTACAGAAACATCACAACAGAATAGAGCATAATAACGACTCATCAATAGAAAGGTTTAGAGTATGAATAATCCCATCTCAATTATATACCTAAGAATCATTTTATTCCAAAAAGGGATACACTAGAACAGGGTAACTTGGAGATAAAATTAATGCGATCAAATTAAAAGAGACATTAGAATATGACTGTATTAAGATGCCACAAAGGGCATAAAGGCTAGCTTTTCTTAACAGGAATGAAAATATTTAATAGAAATTCTGCCAATTCAACTAATAATTGGGCAGTTCATTTGGATACTGCAGCAACCATCCAGAATGTTCACTGGAAAAGTATTGAAAGATTAGGGTTTAAGATCATATTCTCACTAATAGAATAAATTGGCTTATATAGCCTTACACCCACATTTACACAAAACCCCTCTAATATTTTTTAATTACATTATCTTTTCAACACTCCTCCTCAAGATGAGCGAAAGATATCTATTAAGCACATCTTATCACACCCTCTAGCTAGATCTACTGAGCGAAGCCCTTTAGTCAAGCAGTCTGCAGCCTGCTCCTTAGTTGGAACATGGCCTAACTCCAGTAACCAACTGTTCATCTTCTCCTTGATGAAGAATCTATCAATCTCAATGTTCTTAGTTCTGTCATGCTGAACTGGATTGTTGGCGATACTGGTAGCTGACTTGTTGTCGCACCACAAACTCATCTTGGCCCATTGGTCAAGGTTCAGCTCCACCAGCATGTTACTCATCTTGGCCCATTGGTCAAGGTTCAGCTCCACCAGCATGTTCTTCAGCCACATCAACTCCGCAACCCCCAAGGCCATGGCTTCTTCAGCCACATCAACTCCGCAACCCCCAAGGCCATGGCTCTGTACTCTGCTTCAGCTGTTGATCTTGTCGCCACAGATTGCTTCTTGCTTTTTCAGAAGACTAAAAGTTGTCTCCTACAAATATGCAATACCCTGAGGTAGACCTCCGATCATCTCCGCAGCTAGCTCAATCTGAGTCACAGTAGCCCTCAATGTTCACATGGCCACTCCTCTTGAATCTTAGTCCTTTACCAGGGGCACCCTTCATATACCTTAGTATCTGATATACTGCATCCATGTGACCCTTTCTCGGGTCATGCATGTAGCGGCTCATTACGCTTACCGCAAATGAGATGTCTGGACGTTTGTGACTCAGATAGATCAACCTGCCCACCAATCTCTGATATCTCTCACGATCAACAGGTTCTCCTGCCTCAGCACTCAGTCTGAAGCTCTGATCAATCGGTGTAGCAGCAGGCTTGCACCCCAACATCCCCGTCTCTGAAAGAAGATCCAGTGCATACTTCCTCTGGGAGAGAACAATCCCCTTAGATCCATGAGATATCTCTATCCTAAGAAAGTATTGAAGCTAACCCAGATCCTTCACTTCGAATTCTTTGCTCAATCTTACCTTGAGCTGAGCAATCTCCTTCTCATCATCCGATCCTTCACTTCGAATTCTTTGCTCAATCTTACCTTGAGCTGAGCAATCTCCTTCTCATCATCCTCTGTGATGATCATGTCATCCACATACACTGCATCTTACCTTGAGCTGAGCAATCTCCTTCTCATCATCCTCTGTGATGATCATGTCATCCACATACACTGCCAGCATAATGATGTGACCCCCACTTCTTCTGAAGAATACAATATGGTCGGCATTGATTTGTTTGTATCCTATACTAACCATGGCTCTCCTGAACCTGTCAAACCATGCTTGAGGGGACTGCTTCAGCTCATACAAAGACTTCTTCAGTCTGCAGACCTTACCTACAGTCTGTCCTGTGCCACATCCAGGTGATATCTCTATATACACCTCTTCCACTAGATCTCCACGAAGAAACGCATTATTCACATCCAGTTGGTGTAGTTCTCATCCACCATTTGTTGCCAGAGAAATCAGCGTCCGAACAATACTCATCTTCGCCACTGGTGTAAAAGTCTCATCATAGTCAATGTCGTATGTCTGGCTGTACCCTTTTGCCATCAGTCATGCCTTATATCGTTCAATCTTCCCTTCTGGGTTCTGCTTTATAGTAAACACCCACTTGCATCTCACTGCTTTTTTTCCTGCTGGCAGTGTCGCTAACTCCCACGTGTGGTTCTTCTCAAGAGCCCCCAGCTCCTCATGCATAGCAGCCTTCTACTTTGGGTTATTCTTAGCATCCTGCCAGTTGTTAGGTATAATAACAGAATCTAATGATGCAATGAATGCTCCGTGTGAAGAAGATATGTGAGAATAGGAAATAAATTGAGCTAGATCACAACCATATCTCTTAGAGGGATTTCCCGCATTACTACGAGTAGTCCTTCTCTCTGACATTGGTGCAGCGAGAGGGGCAGGAGTAGGAATGGTATTATCTAGAGTGGAGGGTGGTGTAGGTATCTCAGGAGTTAGAGCAGAGCTGGACGAGGGACTAGGCACTGACACTGTTACTATAGGCACCTCTGGCTCCTTCCCCCTCCTACTGTATGTAAGCAAATCCCCCTGATCTGTAGGCCTAACACCCCTTGTCTCTTCCTCCTCCCCTTCGTGGTGCGCAACACAACAAGAGAGTTTGATCAACAAGAATTCCTATTTTACTAAGGAAACAAGAACCAAAAGCAAGATATCTCAACAATGTGAGATATCAGCTTTTCCTCTCATCAGTTCGAGGACTGACCTGTCGAGGGAACCTAAACAAGCTATTACAATTCGAGAAAAGAAAAAAGAGTCATCTAATACAGATTACAGATCCCCTTTATTTTTTTTCTTCTTCTCTTGGATCTAATCAGCACGTCCTGGCCATCTTCTCTTCCCTGGCCATCTTCTCTCGTCCTTCAAACAGCCAAGGTTCCCATCTCGTCCTTCAAACAGCCAAGCTTCCAAGAAATCCTAGCTCTCTCCATCGCTGGGAAATGGCAGCAACAGCAGCTTCGCCGTCTCAATATCCACGAGAAACTTACAAGACGGCGTAGATCTGGACCTCGTCGGAGGCTAGGTCAAATGGCATATTTCGGTCTTCGTCGTCGTCATCGGTCTTCAGTGGTTTCGTCGGGCGTCGATCGTGGCTAAGGAGCTCCTCACGGCCAGCGCGTCGTCGTCGTCCGGTGAGAGTAGATCGGGTCGTCGTCGTCCAGAGGAGATCGCGCTCTCCGGCGACCTCGTTCGCCAGAAGATGAAGTACCTGCACCAAGCCCTCGGATTTGTTCTTGGGTTGAAGAGGGAGGCAGCTAGGTTAGGAGCTCTGATACCATATTGAAAGATTAGGGTTTAAGATCATATTCTCACTGATAGAATAAATTGGCTTATATAGCCTTACACCCACATTTACACAAAACCCCTCTAATATTCTTTAATTACATTATCTTTTCAACAAAAAGCAACAAGAGATTGAAGGTACTAGATAGATGATATACTGAATATGTTGGCCAACTTAAAAGAAGAACACTCTGTTCATCAATTGTGACAGAAGCTCCAGATTTCATTCCAAATAACGCCAGTTTAGTTAATGAGGAACGAACCTTATATTTGGGCATGCCAAAAGAATACACAAATCAAGATCTCAAGATTCCCTAGTATCTGCAACTCTCAGCAACTTACTTCAGACATAGATTAGTACAAGATTGTGAATAGAGCTCTTTATTCTTTCTATTTTCTCTATGTTTTGCTACATTGCATTTCAAGCAAGAAAACTGATATTAACTAAGCTAGCACTTCAGTTGAGGTTTAGTCGGAATGAGCTTCATAATATATTAATATTTCACAACGAACTCCCCAGGAATTTGGAAGTCAATATTTTTTTCTCGAGTAGGGATCTTACCCTGAAATGAGGTTTCTTCAGAACTTCTGTTGTATTTGTCTTTTGAAACTTTTCAGAATCCCTGGTTTTGTAAGATCAAGATCCCACGAGAGATCATAGTATTTAGAAGAGTTAAAATGGCCAAGTTAACAGCAAGCTAGAAACAGTTAAAATTTTCAGTAAATGCAGAATTCAATCAACATAATCACTAGCGTACGGTATAACGGGTGCGAGTATAAGCTTGCAAGATGTCTTTTTGAGCCAGATAATGGATGGCTTAACTTACAGGTCTCAGGAAAAAGATTGTGGCTCCTAAAGAGAAAAACTAACGAGGGTAATGCCTCGTGAGACACACCGTATAGGCAAAACAACAGTCCAATACTCATTGGACTAATACACTTGTGTATGGACTGAATATGCTTATCAATTTTATTTATTTAACATATAGACTTAGAGAGAAACGCGCTTTCACATTCCGAAACGAAATGGCTGAGGAGAGATTCCTTTTTGAGGATACTCCCGGGAACAGATCCAGTGGAGACGGGCTGAGGAGAGATTCCTTTTTGAGGATACTCCCGGGAACAGATCCAGTGGAGACGGGGTGGGGCCTGTAGGTCAGAGGATTAGAGCACGTGGCTACGAACCACGGTGTCGGGGGTTCGAATCCCTCCCCGCCCACAACCGGCCCAAAAGGGTCAATTGCATGAATACAATAACACACTGGAATATTCAAGTTCTGGGATGCATGTAGTGCCGTGAGAGGCTCAGAGTTCAGTTTTAATATTTTCTTCCGACTGAATTGTTTCTTCTGAAAGACGTCAATAATCAGTGTGCCCAGGAAACAAGAAAATGTTTTGGATGCATAAGATGATATGAGAATTCAGTCTATATGTACTTATATCTTGGAATGCAGGAACAAGTCAAATTTTTTTTTTTTTTTCCTCTCCAGTGAACTTGGTTAAAATGCAAGAAATGCAAAAGTCTACATGTACTATATCCTAAAATTGCCTTAAATCATGAAAATAATAATAAGATCAAATGTACTGCTAGTCTCATGCATACCCATGACTTGAAACATCCTCGCACCTCTCTTCAACTCGTCATCCACATAACCATCACTAAAATCGCACCTATCGACGGCGATCTCTTCTTGATAGAAGGGAGACCGTGATCGTACCGTCGCTGCCGCTGGGTTAAGAATCAGGACTCCGGAGAGGCGATTCTTGAAATTATCCGCCGGTTCGTAGGGGCTTCAGTCGACTCCGTCGGCAAAAACGCCAATCTGCGAGCAAAAACGCGAGATTATTAGAGGGGAGGGGTGAGAGAATTTGGGGCGATATGGGAAATTGAGATTAGGGAGAGACGTCGGGTTCGAACCCCGCCGAGCTGTGCTGAGTTTCTCTTAAGCCCTCGAACTATTATTTTATTCTATCAAGTCCTTCGGTTTTCGTTTTGATTCCCGTTGGTCCCGAGGGCGGTTCGACGTCCCGATCACCACCAAAATTAAAATCCCAGCAGGGGCAAACTTGGAATCCTCAAATCAGATTTGAGGGAAGTTGACCAGGGCAAAATTGAGCTTTCTTCTTTCCTGGCGTGCAACGGAGATCGACTGGCATCGAAGACGGTCACAAGGCCGATAAATCCTCATCTAAGCATTCCTTGTGCGCTCGTCGGCCGCCAGCCTTCGCGTGTCTCGTTCACCATAAACAAGCTCATGTGTTTTAGCTTCTTGCTCAGTCTCTCAGTCGCAAGTTCTTGTACTCGTTGCTATGTGTTTTGTGTGATATAGAGAATTAGGCTTGCATTGCTGGTGGAGTTGGAGGAAGTAGCCGTGATTTTGATTTGAAGCCTTGCGGAAAAATAATGTGAAAGTTTGTGTCACTCCCCCACACGCGAGGTGGACATAGTATTTATAGAACCAAAACTTGGAAATTTTCCATGAATACCATATAACCCATCTTGTAACATACATCCACAACCACGTACAATACAGATATACATGATAACTATAGGTCACATCACAACAATATCAACATCACAAGAATATCAAGCGAAAATGAAAATAGAGATATAACAAATTATCCACATATCTTGTCCCCTGGATGGATAATTCCAATACGGTTTGAAAAAGAAATACAAAGTCTTGGCTCAAACACGGCCATCGAATCTAGATAATACTCTTAAGAACAATCTAGAAATATCTATTGTATCAAAATAAACAATTCTCGACTGCTGTTTATTAATAACTACTACATGACTCTAGCTATTTTCTTATAGCCTGCTTATTTAAGTAGACTTGGTCTGATGCAATTGGACTCACTTTGTTACTTGAAGAATGAGATCCACAAAAGGGTTAGATGTAAGGTCTAAAGTGAGGAAATATGGCGAATTGTAAGAATCAAAGGTTAGTCGATGAAATATAAACTTATCCGCTAGATAAAAAAAGAAATATGAATCAAAGAACACTTATGACCTCAATAGGATATCTCAAGTCGTGTTGTGTACGCAACACACACACACACACACACACATATATATATATATATATATATATATATATATATATATATATATAGAGAGAGAGAGAGAGAGAGAGAAATGTACTCACATAGAAGTCCTCTAGTTAGCCAACTAGTCTTAAGACGCGATTAGCGATTAATATCGTAACTTATCCCCTATCCCGCTATTATTTAATTTTCACATGTAATTTTATGTACTATAATCCACATCATATGGTAA